TACCAAAGTGACAAGATCGTTAGCATACAGTTTTTTTTTATAAATTTTTTGGCCCCTGTACATTTTTACATGGTTTATTTAATTATCCAAATTAGTTGTGTCTTTTGTGCTATTACCTATTAAAGTTCTACGACTCAACCTGCAAAATATAGTATGTTAGCTGAAAATAATATTGTAGTTGGTAGCATGGAAGATAAATCTTTAGAAGTGGAAGCCAAATTATGTCTGGTTGATGAAAAATTTGCAGAAATCAACTGAAAGGGTTTAATTATATATTCAACTAATTATTTTTTCTTCCTCACTTGATAATTTATTTATTTATTTAATTGCACTTTTCTCAGTTCATTGTTTAAATTGTAGTACTTTAATCTCCTGTTTTTCTCTTTATAGTTTTAAATGAAGTATTAATTGCAGATAAGTTTGTTTGCCTCTACTTTAATCGTCAACAACTTTCTAAGTAGGTGTTTTCCTGTGTATGAAGTATTGCAGATCTTGAGTTTGCCGAAATTAACAGAAAGAGTCCAAAATTTCATATGAAATCACAAAAATAGGAAGCTCAAATTATATAACATATGATAGTTTTTCTAGCAAACATGTACGGACTGCCTTGCAGCTATTGCATCTTATGAGAGTCACGGTCATACTCAAAATTAATTAAAAAGGTAGAGTGGCGTAAGGCAATGATACAAGAACTAAAAGCCTTAGAAGACAACAATATTACATCACCACTTGCAAGAAAGAAAGTAGTGGGTTGCAAGTGGATATATAATAAGGTGAAGTACAAGGCTCTTGATGAGGTTGATAAATACAAAGCTTAACTTGTGGCAAAAGGATATACACAAATTAAGGAGGAAGATTTCCATGAACTCTTCAACCTGATGGCCAAAATGACCACTATTTGGTGCCTGCTTGCCATCTTAGTTGCCAAATGAATGTGAGTAATATATATAGAGTATTAATTAGAAAATAATATTTAAATAATATATTTAAATAAAATGGATTGATTAATTAATTATACTTTTTTTTGTTATTATATTTGTCATAGAAGTTAATTTTTTCAAATAAATATTTAAAAAAAAATAAAAGATAGAATATAAGATAATTCTGTGTTTATTAATTAGAAATGAATTAAATTTAAAAATTAAAATATAAGACAATTTGTAAGAATCGAAAAAATGGTTGTAAAATATAAAAAGGAGAAATATGTCATAATAAAACACACAAAATCAATTGTAAATATTTATACATACTTTTCCATAAATATTAAAAAAAATTACATTTTTTTCACAAGTTGCAATTAACTTGTACGAAAGTTGAAATCAACTTTTTAATAAGCTAATACCATTTAACTTTCCTAATTAGTTTATCATAAGAATTTTATTTTATTTTATTTTTCTATAAATATTTAAATAAAAATATATCCAAATAACATCTCAAGTTTTGGCATAAGAAACTAAGGATATGTCTAGTTCAAAAGAAGAGATGAGAGGAGTTTTAATGGAGGATAAGGATGAAAGAAGGGGAGTTAGAAATTTTGTTTGATTGAGAAGAGGAAAATGAATGAGAGGTAGTTCTTTTCTTTTTTGATTCACAAGGAGAGTGAAAAGATTTTAAAACTAATTTACTTTTATATTCTTACAATTTTAAATTTAATAATATAAATAAATATATTTTGGATGTTATATTAAAATACTTTTAAAACTCTCTCCTCCCTTCCAAATCTCTCTAATATTGGTGGATAACTAAAACTAAGTTAGGAGGGATTTTACTCCCTTCCGCTCATAAAAATTGAATCACAATAAATTTTTTAAAAAATGTCTTCTCTTCCCTCCCCTTCCCCCATTTCTTCCAACCAAACACTGTGTAAGATTCATTTCAAGTACTTTGTGATATGGATCATGGGCAAACACTAGCTAAATGTTTGAGCATGTATGTCTACAAGCATTTTCCTAAGTATATATGCATATTTAAAACAATGTTATTTATATAAGTATTTGTTGCATGTGCACAAATATTTTAATGATTCTTCTTATTCAAGTTTAAGTTGTATAAATCTTAAACTAAGAGAAAACACCAATATTAAGTCAAAAGATGATCTTAGATCCTCAAAAAATATGAATTTAAACACTTGCTAAATACATTAGAATGTATGAATACAAGCGTTTTTTTAAGTATACATGCATATTTAAAACAATGTTATTTATATGAATATATTGCTGCAAGTGCATAAATATTTTTAAAGATTCTTCTTATTCAAGTTTAAGCTATATAAGTCCTAAACTAAAAGATAACACCAATATTAGATCAAAGGATGATCATAGATCCGTCAAAATATGAATTTAAACACTTGCTAAATGCTTGAGCATGTATGACTACAAGTGTTTTCCTAAGCATACATGCATATTTAAAACAATGTTATTTATATAAATATATTGTTGCATGTGCATAAATATTTTTAAAGATTCTTTTGATTCAAGTTTAAGTTATATAAGTCTTAAACTAAGAGATAACACTAATATTATATCAAAGGACGATCTTAGATCCCTTAAAATTATGAATTTAAATGTTAACAAATTTGAACACTTTTTATAAATAAATAAAAAATATTTTTTTTGATCATATAAGAAAGACTATTGATTATGATAATAAGTAGTCTTTCAAACAAACTACTTTGTTTGTCTAAGATAAATATATTAAATATATCATTTATGATGTTTGATGACCAAATCATGTTTGTTTATGTTATGCTTTAACATATTGAAGGAATAAAAGCTTATTTGATACTTGAAATTCAGAAAAGAACAAAAATTTATTTTTTGTTAGAGAAAATGACAAATACATATCTTGAATTATGTGAAAACTCACATAAAGTCATTTTTGACTGACACATTATAATTTCTCCTATATTTGTACCTTTGCAAAAATAGTAAAGCTTGACCAAATTAATCAAGAATTGAATGTAATATCGATAGATGAGAAATGAAAATCATTAAAAAGAAAAAAAATATATAAATTGGTTCTTAATGAAAGAATGACAAAAAAAAGAAAAAATTTATTTAAGTTGGTAACAAGATTTGACCATGAGTATTTTTTAATAAATTTCACACAAATTAAATAATAAACTACATTGAACAATTTATTAAAATAAACTCAAAATATTTTATGAATTAACTATAAGATATTTTATAAATTTATCCAAACACTCTTATAAACACCTATAAAATAAAATAAGTACATATAAGTTATATATAAATTTTTTCAAATGAGACCTTAATTATATTTTATTGTTTTTCTTTTTTCAACTTCACATTTTTCTGTTTATATATATATATTCATGTCAAATCATACTAAATATATCATTTATGATATTTGATAATCAAATCATATTTGTTTATGTTATACCTTAACATATTCAAGGAGTAAAAACTTATTTAATACTTGAAATTCAAAAAATAACATAGATTTGTTTTTCGTTAAAGAAAAGGACATACAGATATCTTGATCCATATGAAAACTCATATAAAACCATTTTTGATTGATACAGTATAATTCCTCCTATTTTATACCTTTGTAAAGAAAATAGAACTTGATCAGATTAATTAAGAATTAAATATATCATTTTTATTTTTTAATTATAAAATAAAATAAGTACAAATAAATTATTTATAAATTTTTTCAAATGAGATCTTAATTCTATTTTATCATTTTTCTTTTTTCAACTTCACAATTTTTTTTGTCTATGAATATATATTCATGCCACATCATATTTATATAATTAGCCATAGACAAAAAAAATCTTATAATTTAAATTATTAAAAAAAATCAATAAACTCACGTTAGCTTAATATTATTTATACATTAATGTAACTATTTTTTAATTAATAAAAACTTTAATTGAAGTGAACAATTATTCTATACCAATTAACTTTATCATAGGATTTAAAATCTACATATGGGAAGCACAATGCGTAATTAACTATTAAAAGAGTTTTCCTCTATTATTTATACATAACAAATATGGCTGTTAAAGGAAAAATATTATAATGTATAACTCAAATGTAAATCAAGCACGTTATACTACAGTGTTAAAAAAATAATTTAAAGTAAAGAAGACATCTTATTGTCCTAAGGTCACTTCCTTGAAAAAGACAGAGTTAGTGGACTACTTTTATGAAAAAGATCACATTTTATATTATACAATTCATCCTGTTTAAAAAAAATCACTTCCTTAAAAAAATTAATTTAATATTTTTTAAAAATATTATAAAATAAAATTTTTAACATAAAATAATAATTATAAAATTATATTAATTAAGTTTTATTTAACATAAATTTAAAATAGAGATAAGAATTATATAAAAATTAAATAAATTAAATTTTTTTAAAATTAAAATAAATAAGAATATAAATACTTAATTTAATAAATCAAATATTCATTCAAATCAAAATTGATTTTACGACTCATTCATCAAAGTGACATTACCTTCTACGTCTATGTTATTATCATAAAGAAGATCCAAACTTTTCAAACAATGAATTGAAAAATTACATTTTAGCATGTGTATAGAGAAGCTAATATGTGTGTAAATAAATTTGCTAAAAAGGGTTCCTCTAGGCTCTAGCCATATTATCATAAAGTTATTTGATTCTTATCTTACCATTATTTCACGGCACTGACTAATCTTCTCTCTATGTTGGAAGTACCTATGTTAAAAGCACCTCAAAGAGTAGGATAACTGGCCTCAAGATTTAACGCGGCTGCATACACAATGCAAGACGCATACACAATGCAAGATTCGAACCTCTAACCTTGTTTAAGCATGAATCAGCCCTTACTGCTGAACTACATGCATATATATTTTCTAATTTTATTTTATTTTTTCTTTTCTTTCCTGTTTATTCATAAAAATAAATTCAAATACTTTTGTCACGTACTGATTTACTTACTATTCCTACTTTTGACTACTTAATGGTGAAGCTGATAATTGTTGTTCAGGTTTTGAAGTTTCAAATGTTTTGTCATTTAGAGAGAGTAAAGTGATAGTCGTCGTTCTCACTTCTCAATCACACTACACTTTCGAAACGGAAGAAACTAAGAACAAATTCAACATGATTCTACAACAACAAGATGATGAAGTAAAATGGGTAACTCATTATTCAAGTGATCATCAAATACTGTTGGTGGGGGAGGGTGATTTCTCTTTCTCCCTTTCCCTCGCCAAATCATTTGGTTCTGCTGCCAACATCGTCGCTTCATCGCTCAACTCCTACGGTCTCTCTCTTCCTCTTACCTTTCTGATTGTTCTTTTTCCTTGTGCTGCACGTTACATTGTTAAAGTTTCGATCTTAGTACGTGGGGTGGTAAAGAAAATGTGTAACAAAGGGGTTTATGCTTTAATGCTTTGCTCGTTAAAGTGCGGTGTTTTCTTGGGTTTGATCATGTGCGAGTGTGGTTCTTCTTTTGATGTAACAAGTTTGCTATTCATGAGAAAACCTAATAATTTGCTTAGGGTTTCCTTATTCTTCTTTTGAAATATTGTTATTGTTTAATATATTTTTTTTCTTGGTTGTTTTGAAGATTATTAAAGATTTAAAGGTGTGTTTCTTTTGTTGGAACGGTTTCTATTTGTTAACAAGTTTTAAATTGTTACATGGTGCTAATGGTAGTGGTTTGGGTTGCCAATTATCATCCTTGATGTTGCTGAAAATTGCAGGCAAATGCAGCCGCAATTGCGGCCGTGGAGACTCCTACCATGAACACCGGAAAAATGGTTTACCCATTTTGCATCATCACCAAAAATTAGTTGGAAATTTATGTTCACTTTACCTTTGGGTTAGTTTGGTTTTAAACATCACCCCTGATAAATATAGGATTGTAGACGTGTTTAAACCTTTTGCTAAGATTATTTTTGTCTAAACATTTCTTTTTTATGAGTGACAAGTCAATGTGGCTTGTGAATTTTTTATAGTAAAAGGGTATTTTGTAATATTTTGTTTCCCATTTTCATATTTCTTTTGGATTAGTTGATTTGATTTAAAACACCTACTTATGCTATTTTAAATTGTTTTAAGTTCTAGGAATGAACTAATGGAAATTATGTAGTATGGACACATGTACAGAATGTTGTGTATGTCCAACACATTTCATCACTCATCAGAGCTCTTCCAGCTATGGAAGTGCCTTGATGAATGATGATATATTTTTATTGCATACACTTGACAGAATGTATCAATGACACCATATGGATTGTTTTTTAATTGTTCCCTTCATTGATTGTTCCTTGTTTTGTTAGTGCTTGTATATGTTGTTTACTATCTGTATCTATCTATTTTTCTCTAGTTTTTAATGTGCTTGCTTTAAGGGGTACCTTAAGAGTCATATAACTCACGTGTGCAAAATCCAAAGGCTTTGTCACTGACTCATTGGTTGTTCCATCATTTTATGCTCTTTTCATTTTTTCACCTACCGCACACTCCTATTTAGTGTCATTGTATTTGTTCATGTAGATGATGTTATCAAGATGTACAAACATGCAAAGTCAAATTTAGATGACTTACACAAGCTGGGAGCATGCTTATTACATGGAGTGGATGCAACCAAAATGAAGCTTCAATCAGATTTAAAAATGCGGAGTTTTGATCGAGTTATTTTCAATTTTCCTCATGCCGGCTTTCACGGGAGGGAAGATGACACTTCACTGATTAAGTGAGTTTTCTAGTACAATTCAGTTTCATTACTAATTAATGTCTTAGGTGCTTTATAAGGAACTAAAATATATTTGAAACATTCTTGATTTTGCTTTGCTTCTCTTAGGCTATAATAGGAAGTAAAAGTTTAGGTTGACTCTGTCTTCTGGATTTTGTGGAAAACTAGAAATGAGAACATGAATTTCATGTTTTATTATGCACATTACTAGTTTCAACAGAATTGCTGTTTTATATATTCAGTTGTGTTAGATTTCTTTGCTTTGTGCTTCTCCTCATGAGTTTACAGGAAGCATAAAGTCCTTGTGCGAGGATTCTTCAATAATGCAAGTCGCATGCTTCGAGCGGATGGTGAAATTCATGTTAGTCATAAAAATACAGCTCCTTTTACCAACTGGAACATAGAGCAACTTGCGAAACAATGCTTTTTGAAATTGAAGGAGTGTGTTGACTTCAAGAGAGAAGATTACCCAGGTTACAATAATAAGAGAGGTGATGGCCATAAATGTGATGAACCCTTTCCACTTGGTGTGTGCTGCACATATAAGTTTATTTGCAATCGTAAAACTAAGCCAAACCATATGAAGAGAAATCAAATGATGGTTTCTAGACAACAAACAAATCTCCCTATACAAAAGATTGAGAATGCTGTGGAGCAATTACCAATTTCAGTTCATCTCAGCTATAATCCTCAAACAAATCACTTTCCAAAAATTAAAGAAGCAGACCCATCAATATTTGGCTTAACAAATACACACAATATACACACTTCAATCCCTCAGGGTCACTTTAATAGCATTGAAGAAGTACATGGAAGAGGTGTTCCTTCTGGTGGCTATTCTGCCTTTCGTGGTCCAAGTCTCAGCTCTCTAAGAACATTGCAACCAATGGAGCCATTGCAATCTTTGCAACCATGCCCAACAGCATCTAATGTTAGACATTCTCTGACAGATCATGTTAGAACAATGAATACCTTCTCGCATGATTCTAGAAATGAAGGATATCAGGTCTATGGTGGAAGCTCAAATTATTTGCGAGATGAATTTGGTAGAACAACAGCTCACAGGGCAAGTTATTCTTTTGATGGTCCCAGTATGAGAGATCAATTGCGGAAATGGCCAACATCAACTAATGTTGGATATTTTTGGAGAGATCATGTTAGATCAATGGATACTGTTCCATTATCACTTGGTGCTAGAAATGAAGGCTATCAGGTGTGTGGTGGCAGGTCAATTTATTTGCAAGAACTGAGTAGAACAATGGATCAGAGGGAAAATGTTTCTTTTGATGAAAGTCTCACTTTGAGAGATACATCACTGAAGTGGCCAACAGTAAATCATGTTGGACATTGTTCGAACAATCATGTTAGACCAATGGATGCTGTTCCCTTATCATTTGGTGCTCGAAATGAAGGCTATCAGGGCTATGGTGGCAGCTCAAATTATTGGCAGGAAGAAGTCGGCAGAACAACGGCTCATAGGGCAAGTTATTCCTTTGATAGAGTGAGGTTTGACAGATACATAGCTGAAGCGCCTTGGAGAACTGCTCAGAGTGAGCTTCACCGAATGAATAATTTGATGCCATAGAGGAGAAGGGTGTTTGTTGAATGCTGATCATCATACCCTGAATGGAAACTGAAACAAAGGAATTTTAATACCAGTGAACACTGTTGTTTTGGTTTTGTGTGAATAAATAATCTATGGATTGACATTGTAAAAGTTTTAGTTTTGGTTTTGTTTGTTATATTCAATAGCTAGCCGAAGCTGTGATGCTGGTATAATTTTGTCATCAACATTTAGCTTATGTTGATTTTTATGCAGTATGCTTTTGTTAAATCAATTATGCTGTAAGAAATTTATCCTTTTCTTCTTCTTTATTCTGAATGCATTGCTCAAGCACAAATTGACTGGCCTTTATTTATTAAGTTTATAAAATGATAGTAAGGGTGTTACCTTTGTCATTATTATCTTTATTTTAGAACGAATATGTTGGTAATAAACTACAATTTTGAAATTGTAAAACTGCTATAAACAAAAAAATAAAGTTGTTAAATCAATCATATTGTTCATAAGCTTATTTTTTCAATTCTTTTTAGGTTCGTTGATGTCATCGCTTTTAAAAACATGACCAATATCATCTACTAATCAAATTACCAAATAAGTATTAACAAAATCCACAAATATGATGCTTTTTAATTATAGATAAAGTAGATTGCTAACATATTCTCACTAAAATATAGGTGGGAGTATATTAGCATCCCCATATATATATATGGGGAATGCTAATGTACTCCCACCTATTTTTTAGTGGGAGTATGTTAGCAACCTATACCAAAATTTTAGGACAAAAAAATCACTCATTTATTTTGATTTGGTTAATTCGTACAAAGGATATTATAGTAATTTAATTTAGTTTTAAATGAAAATAAAATATTTTCTCTCTCTTATTAACCTCACACTCTAAGTCATTTATCTCTCCTATTAAATTTCTTCTCCTACTCATTTCTCTTTCCTATTAAATTCTTTCTTTAACATATTTATCTCTCTCCTATTAAATTCCTTCTTTAACTCATTTCTCTCTCATCTCTCATGATGTCTCCCCCCTTTCTCTCTAAACAAATAAAAATTAATTAATTAGAAAAAATAAATGAATTGAAGAATGAAATTAATAAGAGAGAGAAAATATTTTATTTTCATTTAAAATTAAATTAAATTACTATAATATCCTTTGTACGAATTAACCAAATCAAAATAAATGAGTGATTTTTTTGTCCTAAAATATTGGTGTAGGTTGCTAACATACTCCCACTAAAAAATAGGTGGGAGTACATTAGCATTCCCCATATATATATATATATAGAGTTAATTACCTATACACTGTCGGTGTAAAGTTTTTTTACACTGGCAGTCAATCAAAGCCGTTAATAGTGCCTTTTTTATTTTAATTTAATTAAATGAGCAGATTAAAAGATACTATTAACGGTTCTGATTGACTGCCAGTGTAAAAAATTTTACATTGACGATGTATAGGTGATTAACTCTATATATAATATTGAACAAAACATACCACGTACTACATGTGCATTTTTACCAAAATTATGGTAATATTTTTAGAGTTAATCACCTATACATTATTGACAATCAATCAAATTTGTTAATAGTACTATATCGTTTCATTTAATTAAATTAAAATAAAAAAAAGACACTATTAACATATCTGATTGGTTGTCATTATAAAAAAAACTTTACACTGATAATATATAAGTGATTAACTCATTTTTTTAAGAGCAATTTCTATGATCTTAGTAGTTCCCACTTATACACGTTTCCCCGCAAAGCAGCTTGCTTCTATGCAAATGCAATCAAAAAATTGTGAAAATAGGGTATGATTAATTGTAGCATGAATCTTGTTGTGTAAACCAAAAAGATTCCAAGAAAAATAAAACATAAATAAACGTCATATACTTGTTGAGTAAAATCGTTTCAACAATTTATCGTTTGTCTTGTAGTTCCTTAACGTGGGGCAGAGTCCTTTATCATTGACATGACTTGCTTTTGTGAGAGAAGTTATAAATATGAGTCCAAATGAGAAAATAACTTTATACGACTCGAAGTTGTTTTTTTTTTTTTTTTTTTTTTTTTTGAGAGAGTATAGTGCTTACTGCTTAGCTTTTGGTTGGTGAAGTGACGTAGCATAATATATTATTAATAAGTTCTAATTTGGTAGATTTGAGTAAATGTTTTGATTAAGTAAGTTAACAAGTCGTCAGGATGGCCGAGTGGTCTAAGGCGCCAGACTCAAGTTCTGGTCCTCGTGAGAGGGCGTGGGTTCAAATCCCACTTCTGACATTTTATGTTATTTTAATCACTTTAGTGTCATTTGCTCGCATTGATTGGATTTTAACTTTTTTGATACAATGTTTCCATTAAATTTCATAAGGAATACTCGAAAGTATAACACCCACCAAATATTACTCCATTTGTCGCACTCATTTATATTATTTTTCTTCGATTGTAATGTTAACACCCAAAATAACATCATCATTAATGAATAAAGTTCTTTATTAATATCACTATAAAATAAGATAATATGAATTATTCTTGATGGTCTTGCAACCATCTCATTTACTCTTTCGTCAAATCATGTTAATCTACTATTATATATATATATATATATATATATATATATATATAATTTTTACTTGTGAAATAAATATAAGAAATAAAAATGGAATTTGTAAAAAAAAAATCTTTACTTCTTTTTTAGGACAATTATGGTAAAAATGTCCGTAGTAATAATCTATGATCAAATGTATGTGCAATAAATAAACTTATCTTTTATTTATCTCAATTTACTCCAACATTTTAGGATGTTTAATTTAAATAATTTCTTATAATATTTTTTTAAAAAATTAAATAAATAGTTATAGTTCATATTTAAAAGAGGGTGTTACACAAAGGGTTCACAATTGTTTTCAACAACTTTATTAAAAATCTAGCATAACAATGTGAAATTAAAACGAGGTACAAACCATCTATTTGAACAAAATTCCAACAATGAATTATGATGAACTATAATTTAAATAATTTCAATAAAATACTAAAACTAAATCTTTGTCATGATGTTACACTAATAAGAGCAAGACCTCTTTTTAGCCTCTTTTCCATCAAATACATCCTCTTGTACCTAATCTATTCTTGCAAAATCAACCTACACACAAACATGTTAGCATCGAGAGTGAAAATATATCTCATCCAACTACTTTACATTGATACTCTTTACTGCACTCAAAAATTGAAGGAAATGATGATAAGTAGCTACCTATATCAGATAAGAGGTACATGCATCTTGGTAATCATTTAATGCTCACATTAAATGCATCAACAGTATTTTCTAAGATCAGTTAGAAAAATAGACGAAGTAACATATGAAGAATATGAACATTTAAATTTGAACATTACTGCTATGTCATCTTCTCCAAAGCTACTATCTAAGGATCAAGCTTTCACACTACAAAAGGAGAGAGAATAAGAGAATCGAAAAGCAATAGACAAAGCATACTCGAAGAAAAACGTTGTACATAAAAAAGCTGAAAACAAGCTGAAGCAATACAAAGAATATCTTTATTGTAAATTTTGTATACAATTCTTTGTAGTCTATTACACTGTATTTTCATAGCATCACGTCTAAAAGAGACAAAACTATTTGTGTAATTCATAGCAATCTTATTTGTAAGGGTTAAGCCTAGAGAGACTTGTTTAAAAAAAATATTTAGTGTTTGAACATGGAGAAGCTTAATGAAAGAATACTTGGTTTTGAAGTCTAGAGAGGCTTGGTGAAAGAATACTTGAGTTTGAGTTTGGAGAGACTTAATGAAAGAATACTTGAGTTTGAGTCTGAAGAGGCTTGGTGAAAGAATACTTGGTTTGAGTAGAAGTGGCTTGTTAAATAATACTTGTATCTTGTTGAAGATAGTAGAACTCAACCTGGTTGGATTGAGAACTGACGTAGTCTCCATGATGGAAATGAACCAATATAAAAACACTTGTGTCATTTCATTTATTTCTACTACTTCGTTTGATTGCCTTCTAATACTTCATCTATTTACGTTTTTCACTATCTCAATGCAAAAGCACGAGTTTTTGATATACATTATTCAACTCCCCTTTTAGTGTGTATCTTTCTCTCCAACAACCCTTTTCATGCCTGACACGATCATAGAGTTTGCTCTTCGCAAACATACGATCTTCGCAAACCCTTTTCAGCAACCCCCACTTCTCATGCTGCTCAGTCTCGGCCCACTCCTCATGTAGCACCGACGCTGCAGCAGCCCCCTCCAACTTCTTCTCCTATCTTGGCCTCGCCCACCTCACGTGGCCCAGTCCCTGACCCAAACTCATCACCTACATCCATGTCAGCACCACACTCCTCTCCTAGGCCCAATAACCCCATGCTCCACCGCATGACAACTCGTTCTATGAGTGGCATTCATAAGCCAAATCCTAAGTACTCTACCAATTGTCACGCGACCACCACTAAGGACATTTCTCCTATTCCAAAAAATCCCGTTAGTGCACTCCGTGACCCAAATTGGAATCGTGCAATGTTAGAATAGTGGATTGAAGCCTAACTCAATCCTACAAAACCGGCTTGTAAGGTGAGGGTTGCTTTCCACTTATATACTATTCAATTGCCTAATCTCTAGTCGATGTGGGACTTGGGTTTTTCCCAATATATAGTCACACACTTCCATTTACTTTGATTCACAATATATTCGGTCAATTAGTCATTCATCATTGATATATCAACTTATCAACCTCAATTTATGCATACATTACCCTAGTTTATCATCGCTTCAATCTTCCACAATATATTAATTAATAATGACTCAACAAGCAAATTCAAAGAGTATAATAAAACCAATTACCAATTCATTCATAGGCACATACACAATTTAAATTCATTGACCTAAGAGGCTTATGGATCAACTCTCTACCCTCATCCTTCATATATGTCGAAGATCACTCCTTCTTACCTAAAATGACGATCTTGAGGATCAATGCGCTTCTATTGAAGCCCTAGTTGCTACTATGCACCTTCTTCAATGGTCTTTAATAAGTTTCCTCCTACGAGTATTCTAGGTTTTTTAAAGACATGTAATAATATAATCACCCTTTTTTAATTCTTTTTAATCAGTCTCTAGGTTAGGATTAGAGTCTAGTCCAAAACCTCTTAATTCACCTCTCCCTTTTTATTTTATTAATAAAAAAATTTCCCTATATTGTAATCTATTTATTCCAAAATATTATTATTTATTCTTAAAAAAATGGATGTTACAATGAGGCATTTTCAACTC